CCGCCTGCGGCTGCAGAGCCGCTGTCCGCATCTCAGGTTCTTCGGGGTTTGCCGTTGCAGGGGGAAGCCAGGCAAATCCCCTGGTTCCTTCTTTTACCTGTGTAAGGACCATTTCAGGCCCCATTTATATCCCCGCTCCTCCCACCGCTTCTTCACTCCTGATGCTGGACAAACGAAGCCGTACAGCCCGTCTTGAGCCGAGAAATGCTCTCGGCTTGAAATCCCTCTTGCTTGTTTCTCACACCCCACCACCCAGCCAGCTCCTAATGAAGCTGCACTGTATTGTCTCTGATTTCCTATTGTCGATTGGGCTGATCTTAATTGGTTTGCGTTTTCAGTTGTTTTTCAGCTCATCAGGAAGGATAACTAAAATAAAACCTTGCCATCCGTGCTCCTCTCCATCCCTCATAGCGACAGTACCTGAGCACATTAATCTGAAGAACAGCGAAGGCAGGGCTTAATCCCTGTGAAATGTTTGGAGGCTGGTTGTTGAGCATTACATTATTCAAAACATTGAATTGTCCTGAATGAGGAAACATGTCTCGATCATCAAGCTGATGGACATTAACAGTCTTCTGCCACAAGTTTGTTAAATTTGGACTAGATTTAGCTACTGCCTGCCTCATTCCCATTCTGCAAGGAAAGCTGTGGACAGGAAACTGGCAAGGAGTAGGAGGCATAAATTCGAGATACCCACAGCTTGGACCGAAAGCCTTATATAAATCCTTTGGATTGGGACTTTAGAGAAATGTGGTTGGCATTACTGCCTTCTGTCAACCAAGCAGGAAAGTTTAACCGGTAGTCCAGGATACGAATGCTTAAGAGTCTGGAGGTGGCTTTAAGATCTGAGCGTGGTTTAAATGTTACTGGTGGGGACAAGGGAGAAAGGGAACACATTTCTCAACATTTCTCAACATTTCTCAACATTTCTCAACATTTCCAGGTTTACAAAACCTGTATGCTGAGCTAGAGGCTGTTAGGATTGGCTCAGTCTCAAAATGAGGAAAACGGGGAAAAATATATATATACATGACACGCAAGCAGTTAACCAGCAATTTTTTCAGCTTATTGCTAATATTTGTGTTTGCTGTCTTTTAGGAAAACGTGAAAATGAATTTTGAAAGTTTGACTATTGATTCATAAAGGATTTTGTAATTACTGTTTACATCCCTCGTATGAGCATCAGTATTAAAAGCCACTAGAGCTGTCCTGGTCTCCTGTATCATAGACCTGCCATCGCCACTGTGAAAAGCAGACTCCTGCCTTGCTGGGAGCTTGTAATAAGCAAATGGTCGGTGTTTCCTAGCTGCGAGTTAGCACAAAACCCAATGCTGAGGATTTGTGCAAAGAGGAGAGGCTTCTTTTGCATCTGTTGGCCATGATGGATGAGCTAGGATTTAGCATCCTCCCGCTGGCTCAGCGGCAGAGCAGCATGCAGGCAGATAAACCCACCGCAGAGCAGGAGCCGAGGCGCTGGGACGGGCACGCACCATTTCTCATTCTGACTGCCAGGCTGCCAATTACATGGCAATTAGTAGAATAAATGTCTGAGATATGTTTCCCCCTCCCCAACCATTTTATGGTTTGGCCATTGTGCAGGGGGCAGTGTGTCTCTCTCCGAGCTACCTTGACTTTTTTGTTTGTTAGCCTTAATCAGTTACAGGGTATTAATTACACCTCTAAGCTGACTAAGCCCAAGGAGCTCAGTCTTGTGCTCTTGCCAACATGGCTCTTCATTTCCCTCCTTTCGTCTCTCCCAGAGGTCAAAAATAGCCGTCTACGAGAAAATGTGGTCGTACATGAAGTCGGCCGAGCCCTCAGTGTTCACCAAAACGACGGCGGACGGGGTGGCGAGGGTGCGGAAGTCGAAGGGGAAGTTTGCCTTCCTGCTGGAGTCGACGATGAACGAGTACATCGAGCAGCGCAAGCCCTGCGACACCATGAAAGTTGGCGGCAACCTGGATTCCAAGGGCTATGGTGTAGCAACCCCCAAAGGCTCAGCATTAAGGTGGGTGGAATAATATAACAATATCCATGTTGTTATAGTATTCCACCTACCCTGATGTATTGTGTTGTCATTTTCTTTCTTGTGGATTTTGAGGTAACTTTAAAGTTTAAAATCTTCAATATTCCATGGAGTTAAATAAGACGGTAAATTATGGTTTCGTTTATTTAATGCATCCATTTTTTTAGTGTTCTCTTCGTGTTGTCCTTTCTGATTGTTTGTTGCTGTTTTAATTTTACAGTTCAATGGCTTTTTCAATTTAAATGGTAAAAGCCGAGTTAACCTGCCATATGTGACGAATGTTAACTGCATGATGTGGTGTTCTTGTTACTTTTTTTCTCAAAGACGATTTCCCCATCCCGCACACTTCAGTTTTGAGCAAATGTTATCCTCCATGCCACCTTCCAATATTTAACCCTGTATTTGCTGTACAGACATTTTGATAGCTCCACGTTCTGTGAAATTTTAGCCAATTTGTCCTCTTGTGCTCCTTTTTTTATACGTTACGATTTCCTAAGCATTTGTGCATTTTTTCTTACAAGTTATGTTTTATCGTTTCAAGAAATGCTGTTAACCTGGCAGTATTAAAACTGAATGAGCAAGGCCTCTTGGACAAATTGAAAAACAAATGGTGGTACGACAAAGGAGAGTGCGGCAGCGGGGGAGGTGACTCCAAGGTCAGCCTCAATGTCACCACAATCGGGTACCTTAGCAAAGAGTAATCGGCAAGGCTGTTATTTCACTTCGCAAGGAAAAAAAGAAAACCAAAACCAAAAAAGGACACGGATTAAAACCATTTGAATAATTCTGGTGGGGAAAAAAAAAAAAAAAAAACCAAAAAACATTTGCTTGCCCAGTAGCTCTTTCAAAGAAACGGTCTTATTTAATATCGTCAGCAGGCTTGGTCAAGCTTGGAAACCTTATTTGGCTAACAGATAGAAAGTCCAGTATTGGTGGGACCTACGCAGAGTGAATCAATACTTGTAACCGTACAAGAAACCAGGCATCACGTCTGGCCGCCGTACTAACCCCTGAGGACGAGGCTTCCGTCCTTCTCCGTGATTTAGCTGCGATGCAGAGTGGGGCTTGAGAGGCTTTTTTCACCTGGATCAGCTGTGCCAGCGCAGGCCTGGAGGCGAGGGGGCTCCCTTCTCCTTCGCTTTTTTGGGGAGGGGGCAAGCAAACCAGCACCAGCACGCGCTGCTTTGCTGGCCTGAAGGGGTGCTGCCAGAGCCTCTGGGAGGAAGGCTGGTCTCCAGAGAAGAACTTTGGGTGGGTCTGTGGCTCCGGGAAGGAAAGGGTGGCTGCTCATCTAATCACAGCGTGGGCTAAGGAGAGAAGAGTTAGGCAAGGATAGCAGAGACACAGCGTTACACGGAGGTGGTAGTCACCCGTTAATGGTAAAACAATAGCAATAACGGTAACGTGTAAGGAGCCAGAGCTTGCGATAGGCGAAGCTGAAATGAGAGCTACGTTGCTTGCAACAGGGAAGTGTATTGATGCACTAAACTGGAAATGAATCTTAAGGAAAGAGGTTTTGGTAGTTTGGCCTAGAATATTCAAATGTCACCTTTTGTACACCACTGAGCAGTCTTCTGCACGCACCTGTGCAGGAGCACTGCGTCTGTGTTTGCTGTGCTTTTGATGCAGATGTGGATTAAAACCCTAGCTCCGGTGACAGCAGCGGCAAAGCTGTCACTGCCTTCTGCTGAGCTGAGGCTTCCCCCAGTCTTTCAGGCAGCCTGTACAGTAGCGAGACTCTCCAAGTTGCTTTAATGAGCTCGTGTATTGCAAAAATTAACTAGTGTGCCTTCATATTGCCAACCTTACCCTGTAAAACTGGCCGTTTCTGCAGTCTTTAACCTGGGGAGGGGAAGCTGTAGCTAGGGTAGGCTGGGTACTATTGGTCACCATGGGTACAGGAATTACCAAGAAAATTAATTTAAAATACATTGTTACACTGAAAAATACGGAGATTAATTTTTGTAGTGACACTCTCCTACAGCTAGTAAAACCAGTTCCTTAGGGAACAGTAACTCCTAATCTCTCTTATAAAAACGCTTCAGCTTTGGTCCAAAATCAATAATAACAGTATTTTCAGTAAACTGCAGTTTTGGACAATTACTGCAAATTACTGCTGCATTCTATTAAGAATAGTTGCTTACAGTTGGCTACATAGCAAATTGCTCAGCTACTCATCTCTTGATGTTAGCAAAAGCCACTGTGTAATAATAAATGAAGGAAAAGCTCTCGAATTCAGGTTTGTTCAGTAACTGGAGGTCCGCAGTGCTCAGCAGTAGCCTGGAGACGAGCACAAGCTTTTTTATGCTTTTTAGCTCTGCTGCTCATCCTTCATGCAACGTTTTTATATAGCGTTATACTTGCCAGTATATTAAATGTTTAATATTCTCCTGGGATGCAGCACTGCATTGTCTAATGCTGCCTCCATGAAAGAAAACTCTTTGTACAAACCAGCTTCAATGAACTTCATCGCTTCAAGTTCATTGAATTAAACCCAGCCAACTAATGCTTAGAGCCCTAAGCAAACTAAAAAGGATTTTTAAAATGGTCATAATTAGGGCAGGGCCGTCCTATTTTTGCTTGTGCTGAAAGAGCTTTTCCAAAGAGCGATACCATCCATTAGCAAGCCCTTGGCCCTGGCCAGTGAATGTCAGCCGTGCTGTGATACCATGGGTAGGTCTCCGGTGAAGAGGGAAGGGGAGCAGACACGATGGCACGCATTTTGCTGGTTTAATCCGTAAATCACAGAGCGCTGTCTCTCCGCAGTTTGTCGTAACACGCTGTGCTGAAGGACTACTTGTTTGTTTGAGCTGCAGACCGGGGCACAGCTCAGCTGGCAGAAGTCCTCAGGGAGGAGGACATGGGTCGGAGAAGACCTCCTGCAGAAGACTACGCTAGGGGAGGTGGGGAAGGGGTTAGTTGTTGTTTCTCGAGATGTTGTAAATCAAAGGGCTTTTTTGTCACAAAGCGGCTTTTCTTTTGAGGAAGCATTTTGTAGGCACCGAGCGCTGCAGGCTGCGATGCCGCAGCGTTGCAGCAGGCAGGCAGATGCCTTCCCGGCAGCGTGCAACCCCATCGCCGGCCCCTGACGCCGAGCGCGGGCTGTGCCCCAGCCCCGCGG